CCCCCCCCCCCCTCCTGCGGTTCTCAATGTGCGCGCCCGTGTGAGGGGGACGCGCGTGTTTGTACCGGGAGCCTCTCGTTCCCGGCAAACTGAGGGCAGATGCTGGGAAAAGCGTCGCGCGCCGTCCCTCTTACTTCTGCCCCGCCCTCTATCCTCTGCCGTGCGCGCGCGGGGGGGGGGGAGGAAGACGCGCGCGCGCGCCGCCGGCCACGCCCCGCCAGCCGTAAATATATGCCGCCGCCGCCGCCGCACACATGGCAGGGGGGCACGAGAGAGAGAGCGCAGGAAGACACCCGCACCCTCTCGGGGGGGATATGAGAATGAAAGTGGATTCGATTATTTGGAGGAAAGAGGAGAGAGAGATGACTGGTCAGATGGCTACTAGGCCGTAATTATCGCGTAACAAGAAGGTTGGGGGAACGACCTTCAGCATTGCATTGCTGCCTGGGCACGACCACTCTTCATTCCAGCTTTATACCAGGAAGGTATCATCTGTCGGGACTCCGGCGGCCAGCGGAGCGCCGGCAGCCGGGGGCCCTCTTGAACGGGGGCCCGGCCCCGCCCGCGGCCGTGTCCCGAGCTGGGTCCTCTGACAAATGTCATTCCGCGAGGGAGGGATCATGCCCTCGGGCCCGCCGGGCGTGATCTCGGGTTCATGGGGCTGGCAGCCGGCCGCCGAGCGAGCCGGCAGGGGGGGGGGGGGGGGGCGACGGCGGAGGCCCGGGGGGAGCGACCCCAAGGCCGGGCGGGTATTGTCCGGGCATGCGCGGCGGCAACGGGGGCCCCCGGAAAGTGGGGCGATATATGCCAAGTATAAAAAATAGTCCTGCCTTCCACCATTGGCCTGGCAAAATGGAGCTGCCTCTGTGAGCACATCGGCGCCCCGGGCCGCGGCGGCCGCGGCGAGCAGTTAATGAGGACCTCTCCGATTGGGTGTTGCCCCACCAGGGAGGGCCGAGGGGGAGGAGGGCCGGGGGGGGGGGGGCGGGGGAGGGGCGTACAATGTGCCGGCAATGTTGCGTACGCATGAGCGGTGCATGAGTGAGTATTCTCGCCGGCCCCGTGAG